TGACTATGCAGGGGATTTGGATAAAAGCAAATCTACTACAGGATATGTGTTCAAAGTTGTTGGTGGAGCTGTAAGCTGGGTTTCAAAATTACAGTCAGTTGTGGCTACGTCCACAACAGAGGCAGAATATGTAGCAACTACACAAGCCAGTAAAGAAGCAATTTGGTTGAAGATTCTATTGGAGGAGCTTGGGCACAATCAAGAGTATGTCTCTCTGTTTTGTGACAGTCAAAGCGCCTTGCATCTAGCAAGGAATCTAGCATTTCATTCAAGGACTAAGCACATACGAGTTCAGTACCATTTCATTCGTGAAAAGGTGGAAGAAGGAACGGTAGATATGCAGAAGATCCATACCAAAGACAACATAGTAGATTTCATGACGAAGGCAATCAATGCTAATAAATTTACCTGGTGTCGATCCTCCTGTGGCCTGTCAGAAACGTAAGCAACATGAAAGGTACAAGGTAGAAAGAATGGTGTGAAGATATAATTGTTCCAATCAAATCTTCAAGTGGGAGATTGTTGAAAATTGGCACACCAAATTGCATCAATTGTCAACATTATGGGTGGCAATTTGGTGGCATTAATGGGGTGGCAAAATTGGTCAAATTTGGCCACCAAATTGTTGAAAATTTTGGATGGTAAAACTATGCAATTAGTCATTGTAATTTAGGGTATTTACAAATTAGTCCTTAAAGCTTCAACTATAAATACCCTAGCTCATTTAGCTTCAAAACCATCCCAAAGCATTCTAGCTTTCTTCCAATACTAGAGAGATTTTAGAGAGTTTCTTGAGAGTTGTTTTCTCCTTTTTATCTAGAGAGAATTATCATTGTTTTCTCCTTGGTAGATCGAGAGAGGTTGTAATTCCTATTTTCTCATAGTGAAATTCTTCTACCGTTGCCCGTGGTTTTTACCCTAAATTTTTAGGTGTTTTCCACGTAAATTTTGTGTCTCTTTTATCTTCATTTTTATTTTCTCAAATTATCAGTTGCGATTTTGCTATATCCAATAGCCGTCTTCCGCAACAAATAAAAAAATAAGGGTGATTGAATCTTTTCAACATATATTATTTTGTTTTTACTTTAGACTTGTAAAAATGAGAAGTATTTTAAACTTAACAATTGATCTAAGTGGTTAAAGAAATTATTATTTCTCTTAGAGATTTTGGATTCGAACAGTTGTATTTGTAAAGTCTGTATGTTGTTAATAATTAAGAAAGATTTTATATAGATATTACATTGTAATCATCCTAGATTATTCAAAAGAAAAAAGAGTATTCTTTTTGAACCTGCAAGTGACTTTAGTGGTTAAAAAGAGTGTTGTTCTCGTTAGAAGTATTGAATTTAAACAGTTGCGTTTGAAGGGTGTGTGCACGTTGTCAATAATAAAAAAATATTTTTTCATAAATTAAAGATGAACCGAAGGAGTGTTGAAAGCGATATTTTTATTAAAAATAATATCTATATAATTTAAATATTTTTATTAATAATTTAATTTTATATCTTGAAATTTTATATATTTTAAAATTTTAATATAATTTCTTAAAAGAAATTGTAACTTATATAAAACATTATACCTCCTTGTGCATGAAGGTTCTTCTTCCTTGTCCCTAGGTTTTGTACCACTAGTTTTTTTTTTCCAGAAAAGAATATCAGAAGAAGAAATTGTTTCAAAAAATAGATCATTTTTATATAAAAAAACTTTTAAATTATTTTTTAAAATTTTTTAGGTCGTTTGTTTAAATCTTCTTAAATCATTATGTTCACAATCAAATTCTTACAGTCTGCATCATCATTTTCTTAATGTTCTGTTTTCTTTCTGCTACACATTTATAAGGATGAGATAATTCATGAATTATTTATATATTATCATAGTCATTAAATTGAATATATTCATCTCTTTATCTAATTTAACTCTTTTAATTTTCTTATTCAACTAATATAAAAATATGTGAATAAAATGAATCACTATATGAACATATTATGAATATGAGACGCATAAATGAATACACTGACGTCTACATAAAATGACACTGAAAATGAGGGGAAGAGTAAGAAAAATTATATAAATATTGATAAGGCTTAGGAAACAAATATGAACATGAAAATAATTAACATGCATAATGTTAAAAAATAATATGAACAAGACATAATGCATGAATGTATCGAAATTTACATAAAAATACTATGGAGTAGTCTGTCACATTTTACGAGTATCGTTGAACACTAATAACGATGAGATTTATTAATTTAATTTATAAAAATTTAAAATTTTAAATGACTTAACGTATAATTATAAATTAGTTAAAATCTTATGATAAATTATTTAAAATAAAATATTAATTACATGATTTTTCATAATTTTTTCGGTAAATTATACCACTGACCATCTAACTATTGCCCTTTTCATTTTGGCCACCATTTTTGAAATTTTATCAATCGGATCATCCAACTATTTAAATGCATTCGATCAAGCCACTTTACTTTAACATTTAACGGAAGTGCTGATGTGGCAGTTAATAAAATTTGTATAATTACATATTTGATCTTTAATATTTATAAATTCTATCAATTTGGTCATAAAATTCAATTTAATAATTTTAATATCTAATTAGATGGTGACATATCAATACCTAAGAATAAATTATTTTATTTTATATCCAATAAGGCAGTGAATAAGCAAAATGCATATAATATAATCTGCTTCTGAGGGGAATCAAACCAATGACTTGTCACACAACAAAGCACACTTAAACCACTAGGTTAAACCCTTCACTTGGTAATTGTTTAGAAATTTTTATATATAACTTGTTATAACTAATGGCAGAGAAAAAAAGGAAACTGACATACTTGTAAAGGGATTCAAACCCTATATTTGATTAAAATTTACAATATTATACATATATAATCATCTAATTGAGTCTTTTTCAATAGATTTTTTTATATTTTTAAATTATATTTATTCATTAAATATAATCATTAAATTAACTTTTCCAATATAATTACTAATTTTAATTAATTATTAAATATAAAGAAATTATATATATAAATATTATTAATTATGTTAAAAAATTAAAAATGTTCTTTAATTATATAAAAATAAATATAATTGGATGACCTTATTGACAAAATTTCAAAAACGGTGGTTAAAATGGAAAGGGACAATAATTAGGTTGTTAGTGATATAATTTACCCAAAAAATATTATATAAAATAATGTAATTAATATTTTATTTAAAACAATTTACCTTTAGATTTTTTACTAATTTATAATTATATGTTGGGTCCTTTAAAATTTTAAATTTTTATAAATTAAATTAATGATGCTCATCATTAATGGTACTCAGTGGTGCTCGTCGAGCGTTGTAAAATTTTTCAAATATTATTAACATGTGAAATATATATAAATTAACGATAGATAATACTTTAAAGGCATAAAAAATAATACAAAACACTGTCAACTAATATAATGATAATTTACTCAACCTAAAAACGTTATTATTTATTTGTTTAAATGTTTTTTAAAATGATAAAATTAACCTGATAAATATTAATTAATTAACCTATTGTTGTGTTGTCCATCTACCCTAACTTTACAATCTTTAATTCAAGCACCAAAATGATTTGGGAGATAGCTTCTGTATAGTGTATTAAAATGACAATTTTATCCCTGTAAATTATGTGTTGTGTTGTCTATCTGTTATGACCTTGTGATTTGTTTTTAAAGATAAGGACTGTACTATTTTATTAAAGTCAACTATACATATATCCGACAATGATATAGACCTCGTTAAAAAAACCCTCCTTCTGTTAAATGAAATAAAAAGAATGAATCATATCATTATCAAATAAACAGTTAGCGATACAAAAGTTAACACTAAAAATCACCAACCATTGCACATACCAGAGTTGACCAATACGAAGAAAGCTAACCCAAAGTAATTAAAGATCTAACACCTTATAGTCATCTCACCTCGAATCATTGAAAATAATTTCATTCCTGCAAGACCAAACAGTCCACACAATAGCATAGAACACCATTTTCCATAATAATTCGATTTTCAGCAATGGACAACAACCCAACCAAGACTCGAAAATTTTCCATCCATTTTTCTGGTAAACGCATTGGACACCCCAAAAACCACCCCACAGACTCCAGATATTCCATGAAGTCTCGCAAGAAAAAAAAAAAATAGATGATCGATAGTCTCTTCCTCCTTTTCACAAAGTAAGCACAAATTATTGGGAGGGGAAACACCCATTTTAATCAATTGGCACTTTGTAGGGACCCGGTTTATGAGCAATTTCCATACAGATTATCGGGAAGGGAAACACCCCATTTGAAGGACGTGTAATGCAATTTCCATGAATTTGGGAATGAAGTTGGAATATTCAAAAGTTCAAGGATCAATTTAGAATGATACTCATAGTTTGGGGATGAAATTAGAATGTTCAAAAGTTTAAGGACTAATTTAGAATGAGTCATAGTTGGGATGAAATTAGAATCTCAAATTACATTATCTTTTTGATTTGATCATTTTCTTATTCTTGTAGTTACCGGCTCTAAATGCAAACTTGGATCCATACATCCTTAAAAGGCCTTGATTGGAAAAATATTAGGGCTTGAGGATTCAATTGAAATGCTCATGCCAATGATATTCTGCCGTATCATTTGTATTACATTTCCTTCAATGATTTTACATGCAAAAAGGATCTTCCGAAATGGTTAGCTTAGTCGTCTTGTTCGAGATGACTGGCATTTTTCTTGATTTGTATTGTTAAAGGTTATTGCCTAGAAACACATGGGAACTTACTTCCTGGAAATTTTGAGGCCATGGACAAGGGGCTTGGATACTTTTTGACTTGTCAAAGTCATTCAGCGTCTTCTTTGAGCTAACGCAGTTGCACAATGCAGGGGAGATTTGAACTCCACCGATTGCTTCAGCTGCATCAATACCGCAAACGCCGAGCTCAGAAACAGCTGCATCGATGCAGGGGAGATTTGGCGCTGTTTATAAGGTATACATCAAAATAACAAAATCATAAGTTCAATTAGCATATGCTTATCATTCTGATGTATTCTCAGGGCACACTTGCTGGTGGAGATTTAATAGCAGTGACAAGGTTGTCTACAGGTTCTGCACAACGAGACCTCGAGTTCGAAAACGAGGTTCGGTTAATGGCCAACCTTCAGCACAGGAATTTGGTTAGGCTCCAAGGTTTCTACCTTGAAGGAACTAAAACACTCGTCATCTATGAGTTTGTGTCTAATGGAAGTTTGGATAAAATCTTATTTGGTACGATATACCAGTAATCCGCGTATCAACGTATTACAGAATGTATGCTACGAGATTCATTAATTTGGATTTATGGTGAAGTAGATCCAGTCAAGCAGCCCAGTTTGAACTGGGAAACACGATAAAGAATCATTCAAGGCGTTGCTCGTGGGCTCCTCGACTTTCATCAAGATTCTCGTCTCCGAATCATTCATCATGGTCTCAAAGCTAGCAATATATATTGTTGGACGCACAGATGACTCCTAAAATTGCAGATTTCAGCATGACAAGATTGCGCGCTGTTGATCAAACACTTGTGACACTAGTAGAATCGTCGGAACATAGTAAGTAGTTCGAAATCATCTTGGCCTCAAATTGCATGAACCAAACGATTCGAAAATTGATGAGTCACTGATTTTTCTTTTACGGTACAGCTTGTAGCGGATACATGGTGCCTGAATATCTGATGCACGATCAGTTTTTGGTTAAATCGGATGTTTTTGGCTTCTGTGTGCTTGTTTTGCATCATATTCATAATATGCAGTAAAAGAACTATGGTTTCACTTGTTCTGATATTCACTAGCGACTCTACCACTCTCCCGATACCCTCGGAGCCTGCATTTGTTATACACGGTGAGACTCGATCGGCTATGCAACGATCGGAGGACCTAAATTCCGGGGAGCTTTCCATCACCGAGATGGATCCAAGATAGCAACGTGGTCACATTTGCATGCATGTTTTATTGTTAAAAAGATCTTGGGATTGCCCGTTTGAACTTTGAGCTGATTACCGCACTTCCCATGCGGTAAATATGTTGGGGTTAATCAAATTTCCTTGTTTTACATTGACTAAGAGATAAAAATTAAAAAAAACTCATTTCTTCTACTTTCTTACGATTTAATCCATGGGCTGTATTATTGTTTCATTTTTCCTTGTACATTGCTTTTATTTATTTATATTGTTAGGAATATTAAATCTCATAAGATTAAGTTTGGTTTGTCGGTCATTAGCGGTTCATTGCTTCTGATATGAACGGAGAATCGCGGTTGGTAAGAGAACGATTGTTGACCGATATTTAAAGGAGAAGAGAGAAGATTATCATGAAGAAGTAGAGGTACCGACCGAACTGAATTAGTCAAAACCAAATTAATTAAATTGTTTTTTAATCGTTAATCAAACTATTTTATTAAAAAATTATTAATCAAAGCGAATAAAAATTAGTTCAGATAAATTAAAATTTGTAAAATTTAAATGTTGCATCTCATACTAGATTAAGCAAAGTGGTGAGAAATAATCAGATACCCGCCGATTCTTAAATAAAGATAACCTTATAAAAGTGAATATCAAAACACCATTCATTGATTTAAAGTTCCTAACCTTTTGAAATTTGAATCAATATGGCTTATGTAGTTATTTTCAGGCCTAATGATCTTGTTAATTGATAATAATATGCACAAATCAAACGATCTAAATAGTAAATGAATTATTGTTATTCTTTGAGGTCTCGGGTTTGAGCAACATGAATATTAGGGGTGTGAGCATTTAATTTCAAATGGTTGAGAATTCTTTGAACATATATTACCTTGTATTGATCCCATATTAATCAATAATAATAATAATAATAATAATAATAATAATAATAATAAAGTAACAAATTTGTTGTATTAGTATTAGTATTAATTATTTTTTCTTTTTACTAGCTTTTTATTTTTATTGTTTTTTATCTAAATTTTATAATTTTTAATAATTTGAATATATTTATGTTATACCCACTAAAGATCTTCCGCAAACATCATTTTCGCATGTCACAGGATGACCATAATCACATGAAGATCTTGAAGTATTTTTAATTCTCTTACATGTAGATTTCCAGAAGATATAAAAGGAATATCTTCAAAGAAAAGATCTCGAAAATTTAAATCTTATAAAGTCGTGACTTATTATATGACCTTTGATAGGTCTATAGGATCTACCAGAGCTAAATCCACTATCATCTTATTATATTCATTTAACATGCTAACCTACGGATAGTCATTATGATCTTTCAATTGATACAAGCAGTAAATGCCATTATCAAATCTCTTGAACATGATTGAGAGATGGAATGTGACCTCTATAGAACCATCTTGCTCTTATTCATTCTTGTTCTACCTTTTTGATAGAGACAATATATATCTCAACACAGACCAATAACCGAAAAACTGTTGGTTGTGAGTTTATGTTCAAATTAAAATAAGTGAACCACATATAGTCATCACAATCCATTTGGTCCATTTAAAAATGTATTTATATTTTTATAATTTATAATATTTTACATGTTTAATATATTTTTATTTTTCTAGAAATAATGATAAAATTACCAACATCAACATTGAAAAAAATAACTAAAATTAATTTAGTAGGTTTATTATTGTTATTATCACTATTATTACGTTAATAATTTAATTTTAAAAAAATTAAAAATTTAAAACTGTAAAAAAATAGTTTCTTAAAAATATTTGAAGACAAAAAATATCATGAAATTTTATTTATTCTTTGTGATAAAGTTTTTGCTTTACATGATTTCTGCCAAGTTTATATTATATTAATTAGAATATTGTAAATCCCAAGAAATTGTTCCACTAAAATGTATTATCCTTGAGGATAGATAATGTATTAATATCTACTTATCCATATCATCATACTAATCATAATTGCTCCTCAAGTTTTGGTAGTCTATAATTTTATACTCATCCATGAATTAAATGACATTCATTAAAATTTAGGGTAAATTATAAATTTCATATCTCAACTATTTTTTTATTTTTATTTTGGTCATTAAAGTTTAAACTTTTCAATTTCATCATTAAGCTTTAAATTATTTTTTGTTTCAGTCATTCCGTCGTTTAAATTACAAAATATGTATTGACATGGATTATTTTATCATTGTTTATTGTGAAATGGTATTTTTATTAATATGTAGTATAATATGATTTAAAATAGAAAGAAAAAATAAAATTAAAATCCCTAAACCATAATTATAGCCCCAAAACCCTAATTATAAACTCCATCCACCCTTAACCCTTATTGATCACCCTTAAACATTCATCGACCACCACACATATCCCAACCCTAAACCCTCATCAACCTTACCCTTATTATCCCAACCCTAAAACCCTTACAATCTATCTTAAACCTTAAACCCCAAACTCTTATCAACTTTTTTTATCACAAACCCTAAAATCCTTACAAAAAAACTTAAGTCTAAAGTTATCAGGTTATAGTACATTCAGGTCTATGATCGTAGATTCAAACAATCAAAGAACGATACGTTCAATAGAGAGTAACATATCTCAATTGGATAAATAATCTGACGGTGAAAGTTGAAAGGGAAAATCGGGGATATTTGGTTTATGTTTTAATTTGGTTTTCTTGGCTTTTGGACTGGTTTCATAGAGATATAAACCAAATGATTGAAAGGAAGAGGAAAAGCTTTCATTTGACACTTGTATTAATGTGAGTGGTGATCGGAACATGATGACATACAAAATTGATGGTATCAACGTGGAGTTTAGGTTGTTTTTCGATTAAACGAACAATTGATTGTGTTTCGAAGGGTGAGGCGAGTTATGTGGGATATTTGAAACTCGTCTACCTTTGAAGATGGTGGCCAGAATGACAAACAATGCGTTGAGCGAATTCTTTGTTGGTTTAGGTTAAGAGAGAGAAAAGGAGAAGAGGAGGAAAAAATGGAGGAAAATGAGAAAAAATATTTTTATAAGGAACCAAAACAATGTTGTTTTGAACTAAATTTGATTATATGTAAGGATCTAAAATGACATTGTTTTGTTATATATAATGTCATAACGTCGTTAATTATCTAATAATGGAGTGACCAAAACATGAATAATTATAAAGTTTAGTAATTAAATTAAAAAAATAAACTTTAATGACCAAAATAAAAGTGTAAAGATAATTGGGTGATAAAAATTATATATAGTTATTTTTTTGAACTTTTTGAAATAATTCAAATTATTTTTTAAACTTTTTGAAATTGTTCATTCTCTAATTTTTAATGGTGCACAAAATCATGTACAACCCATACATATTAAATATTATTCTATAAAAATGATTTAAAATCAAATTATATTTAATATATTTCAAAGTATAACATATAATATTAAATTATTTATAATTTTCAATGTTTAAATTAAAATTAATTATATTTAGGTGTACTTAAACTTTCAATCTCTTAAATGTTATAATAATAATATATCAATCAATATAATTTTTAAAGTAAAATTATAATATATTCATTGACCAAATAAAACATTGTCAACAATGTCTTGCCATATGCATACAAGACAAATGCATTCATGTCTATCATAAGTAAAATATAACGACGATCGACCAGTGACAACCTGTGTAACAACCTAATTATTGGGTCAGTGACCAAAATGTAAGAACTTCTAAACTCAATGGTTGAATTAAAATAATGTGATAATTCAATCATTTATGAAAGAATTTTTGTTTTGGGTATTATAGCAAATATGGATGTTTAATAAGGGTAAAATGGTAAATTACAGGGAATGATATTTTAAATTGCTTTTACATTGGATAAGTTTGGGTTAAAGAGAAAAGTGTATGGAAAACATTTCTTTTCTTTTTTCTTCTACGTGAGCTCCCTCTTCAAAGGTAAGAATGTGAATTTTTCAGTTTTACTTTAATCTTTGGGTTGATAATGGAAGTTTGGGTAGTATATAAGCTTAAGGAAAGCTTATATTGCATCAAAACAACAACCTGAGTGTTTTAGAGATGGATTTGTAAAATGGGGTTTTAGATGAAATTTTGTTATGAAGTAGTTTTTGAAGTTTTAATGAAATATTTTGACTTGTCAATAGGTTAATTAAAGGGGTTAGGAGTGTTAGAATTGGTTAATAACATGGTTGAAATCTTGGTATGATTTGAAGATTCAAGTGTTTAAATGAGAATTTGCGATGTTTGAAAGTAGTAAATGTATACAATTTGGTGTGGAAGTATAAAGGTGAGTTCAAAGGATATAGAGATGTGTTTATGAGAGTGTTGGGAGGATTTTTAGGTGATTTTCGGGATGAAAATGGTCATTCTAGGCTTAGGGTATTGGTACCCTTATGAACAGTAT